TATTAAATATCTAGAAATCTACTTATATGGTCAGTCCCCAGATTTGTTAACAAAACGAAGGCTTATAAATAAATTCAACGAATTTATCAAAAGCATTGCCAGCCAAAAAATGTAGAATGGCTCTATCATAAAACAAGTGTCACAATGGGTCATTCTAGCTCAAATTGATTATACTTTTCAAGTTATATCTTTAAGAAAACATGATATCAACACACTCCAAACTTCATTCAACGAAGCAATAAAAAAGAAATTAAGTATAGAATGCACCCTATCAAATAGAGCCTACTTCTCACAAGCTGGTATCAACTCAACAGTCCTTAAGGACTGGAAGACAATCACACTGGTCAAGTTACTAGCCATTATTCTAGTAAACAAGAAAACTACCACCTTTATTCAACAAGAGATCTCATCAATCTAAATGAGCTGCACAATCTGACTATGTCTGGTCTGCCATCCCCAACATTTTAAACAATCCTGGATTATAGAAGCAGCCCAGATTGCAGAGACTACAAAATAATCATCTGTCCAAATCCATATCCCTTTATATACAAGGATGCATGGTTGTTCATAGGCCTCCATACCAAAATAAACAAGACAACACCCCTACACTTATCAAAACAGTCAGGCAAATTACACAATATAATAAATCCAACATAAATTCATGGGATGAACTCCATATAAAAACTGGACGAGTCACTCCTGGTCACATCCACAGCTGGTACACTGACCTCAAAGAAAACTTCCCCACAGCAACTGGCAACACACTATCTCTTCCCAATTCAAAACCTCTTTTTGGGGCTTTTAAAAATGCAAACTACACAGAATTTATAAAAACAAAAAAGAACTACAATAATAAAGAAATTATTAGAGGACAATACTGCATTGTAGATGAAAACACAAACCACCTTCACCAATGCCAATGTCCAACTCAACCTTGTATCAAAAGCAAACTAATCGAAACAGTAAAATCAATTTGGCACAAGAAAAACAATAATCTTTTCTATCTTCTTAACAACCTAAATAAAGTTGACACACAACTTATTCCCAAACACACTAGCAATGAAATAGTTTTTATTTAACCATGGCCAACAACTTTCTGAGCAAATATTCCTATCAGCATAGTAGTGACTCAAAGAACAAATAGAATTGAAGTAGAGACAGACAACAGCTGCCAACTATTTCCACATACTTCTAGCTTCTATCACGAGCTATGAACCATCCTTAACAATACTATAGAAAATGCGACACCATACACCAATATAACTTGCTCCATGTCCAAACTCCCAAACATCAAGCTCCCATTATACATCAACAAGAAAATCAAGATTCAACATAATCTCATAATTGAAAGATGTCTGAACCTAGAAAAAATCAAAAAAATCAACCTAAAATACATCAAAATCGAAGGCAAGCTCACTCCATCGACTATCTCAACATATACAAGTCTACCCCCTTACAAAACAACACAATTCTCTACTTCACCCCTTATTAATAACAAAATTGGACCCAGTATTATATACTGAATAAAATTTGTTGACTCATACATCTAACTCTTCTCAATAATCTTAAGCAACAACTGCACATACAAACCCAACAACACCTCTGAATTCTTACGATTAAAACAAGTCAACAAAAGCTCTGGAAAATGGATAAATATAACTACAGAGTCTTAACCACCTTCAGAAAAAGCTTCTATTCAACTTATTACCCACAAGAGATAAACTTCACAAGAGATATTCTATACTATACACAGATTCAAGGTGCCCTATATGTGACCACATAAATGAAGATCAGCTCCATATCTTTAATTGTATTGAAAGCAGAGAAACAATAAAAAAAAAACTACACAAACTTAACAAAATTCTAAAAAACAAAGCAGAAACCGCACACAAACCAACTCAACACACTACCTGAATCAAAAAAAGGAGACATATTATTCAGTATCACTATAGAAGAGCCCAACCAGTACCTAGAGTTATTATTTAGTGAAAAATTACAAATCCAATTGATGATGAACACATCATTAAAAGTTCTTTACAAAATTTGGAAACAAAGATCTGCCACAGTCAATACTTCACTTATCAGTGGAATCAAATGGAAAAAGACAAAAGCAACTAACAAACCCAACCAAGTATAAATAAAACAAATAATAACAATATTTCAAAAATAATTATCAAGTCATCGAACTTATTAAACAACTCCATACAAAAATCTATATTTCTTCCCTCAATAATAACATCATTTTTGAATAGGAATAGCCATTCAACCCTATTCTGGTAAACCTGAATACTGTCCAGCAGGATGGCATAATAGGAAAATTGCAATAGGCTATAGTTAATTTACCAATGTAAAGACTATTAATGTCATGTTAAGAATTAATTTTCTAATAAAAACCCATATTTAATGCTCATTTGCGATAAAAAAAAAAAAAAAGATAATACTCTATAAAGAACATTTAAAAAAGGTAAGATATAGTAATTGACTTGATCAAGGGTAAGTGTCTCTTTTATTTATATCCTGTTTCTTTTGTATAATATTAACAATTATCTCTATTCTTAATGAGGGTTGTTTTAATATATTCAGTACTGTTTTCTTGACTTATATTGATAGGCTATATATATAAATTTCTAATTAACAATAGGCTATTTACATTACAATAGGCTATGCTAACTATAAGCTTTGTTAAACTTTTTATACTCTGTTATACTGTATATATATAGTTCTTTTATTAGTATCTGAGCCTTAATCTATAGTTTCATATCTCATGACACTCAATCTTATATACAGGCTTTCATTTTTAGATTTTAAATCTATTATATATAAATAATATTGCCATGTGATCTCCAACAACAAGTACTATACTCAAGAATCCAATGTATTACTACTAAAGAAATATATAGGATATAATATCAACCAAAATAGATAATCAAATTATCTTTGTACTTTACTATCATTAAACAAAACATGGTAATAGTTCTTATTTAACAAAATAAAATCTTTATACAAACTAATACAATATATACCACCAGACTTAGAAACAGGACTATTCTCAACTTGATTATTTTAGTCTTCAAAGAACAATTTTAGAACAGCTGAAAAAGAACAACATTCTGCATGTACTAATAAGATTCTCAAGATATTCCAGCCAAATAAGGATAAAGCAGCAGATATCGCAATACAACTATAGGAGAATATTAATTTTGAAATATAAATAAAGATTCCTATAACAATATCACAAAAAATACTACATAGATTTCGAATAAATAACAATAATCTGAAAAAATCAAAAACTGTACTTTTAAGAAAAAGTATAAAACTTTCTTTCTTTAATCAGAGCTAAGTTAATAACTATCCTAATAGCTATCATCATACTGCCCTCATTCAGTAAAGTCAACATCTGTATAAACAATCAAGTTACAATCAACTGCATTCAAAAAGCTATCTATATTGATCTTATTAAAAACTTGAGAAAACAGAAAAATCTTTGTACTCTACAACAGATCAAAGATTTAATCGAAATAAACCATCTCAAGCTCAACTTTATCAAAGTAAAAATACACTCAGAAAACAAATATAATAACCAGATAGACCAATTATCAAGTATAGATATGAGACATGTAATGATATCAAGGAAAAAGACTATTAGAGTCCAGCTTATATAAAACTAACGATTTAGACTTATTTCTCAATAGAACAACTAATTCCTAGAAGTTTCCATAAAGAAAATGGTCCACGAAGTTATTAAAGCTACATACTTCACAAGATAGAGATTACTGAATAAACAAGAACTGAATTCAGTGACAAAGTCATCAAGCAGATCTATTAGTATACAACAATGAACCTTTTGCAGTCTATACAAATGAGTGAATAGCAGATCAACTGAAAAGATCAACAATAATAAAAGTTCAACCTGTGCCTTTGGAATGAGAAATTACCCATCAAAGTCAAACTCTATCTATGCCTACCAGGCCTATATAAAGATAACAAATGCATCATGAATAGAGTGAGAGAAATCAACATACATTTCTTTAAATGTCAAAAACAATAACAGGAAATAGAAAAACAAATAAAAATATCATAATTAAAAAATTAAGACAGTTTGGTACAATAAAAGACTTTGAAGCACAAATTTAAAAGTTTAAGAAATACACATCACTAAAATACACTGAACACGAACAAGTCCACAATCAAAGGGCAGTTCTAAAAAAACACAATATACAGTAATCTACTGTATCTTAGACAAATGAAACAGACACCAATGCCTTAAGGAGATTAGACAAAAAACAAACCAATACCTTCACACTATTAGGAAAGCAAGATGTGAAAACTTTTAAAAATGGAAAGCTCAACAATGAATCACTAGGAAGAGAGAAAAAGCCTCCAAATACAACATATCAACAAAATGTGACTGGTTCAACGAGATAGAGAGATACATAAAAAATCCATACATTGACTTGATAAATAGTTGCATCAATAAATACATTATAAATATAACACACCTATCATATCCTAAAAATTTTCTATAGCACTAGCACAGACTTGGCTGGTTAGCTCCCTTCAGGGTGACGACAAATCATGAGGTGAAACTTCTCAATCGAACTAAATTTGGTTAACATAGGTAGTCCTAGCATAAATTACATATATACACTTCTACTTAATCCAAATAAAGTAAGGCTGAACCAGCTCTTTAAAAAATTTGTATGTACAAAACCTATATTTGTTAATTTCAATAGAGATTAAAATTTTTTAAAAAATTGTGCGACCATGTAAAAACATTTAAATAAGGCGCCAAGTTTTTGGAAAATTAATATTAATCTGAATCTAGAATGGTGCCAAAAAATAACATTGAACTTCCTTTTTCTCCTGATTTAAATATAAATCAATTTGTTAAAAAATGTACCGGCAATCACACAAAATCGCCTAATATGTTTATTATATACCAAAAAGTCTACCACCGAGAAGCTTTAAAATACCACTTCAATCCCAAAGAAATTTCGAAAATGGCTAGTATTGCTTGGAGAATGGAGCCAGATTATGTTAAGCGCTTCTACAAGGAATTGGAGAAGAAAACAAAAGCTGCTCTTAAGAAAACGAAACCATTCTATTTTACTAGTGACAAAAAGAAAAAAAAATCTAAAGTTCAAAAAGTCAATAATACTGTGCATGTTCCGCAATTAGACATTCTGCAAAAAAATGCTCATGATAACTATAGCCTGTATATGAGCATGTCTGATTCAGATTTTGTCAATTGCATTCCTGATGATTTAGCACTAACCTATAAAGCATTAATGAATTCTATACCTTATTAAATCATTGTGTTGTTCCATTTCTTGTTCTTTTTTTTTTTATTGATTTTTTAAATATTTATTCAGTTCTCTCGAATTGATCAGAATTATTAATAACAATAAACTTGATGCTAATATAATTGCAGTATTGTTCTTTTCTTGTCAAAATCTGTAGTGCATATTTTAAATTTAAATTTATAACATATGAATGTCATAAAAAGGCCCTAAATTAAATTCACTCATATACCTTGAAGTTAAAAAAATTTATGTTACGACCATTCATCATCAAAAATAATTGAAGAGTATCTGCCTAAAGATGGTTACGAGAAACAGCCGGCAACTGAATGTGCAAAGATTTGGTGACATTTCGGGAAAAAAAAAAACAAAATTGTAATGACGTGAATTATACGTATAGTCAAACAAGGGGCCCTATTTATTATATTCCCTCCTACACCACTTTCCGATTACGTTCGCCCGGAGTCAAAGAAATGATTCCGACCATTTATCATAAAAAATAACTGAAGAGTATCTGCCTAAAGACAGCCACGAGAAACAGCCGGAAACTGAATGTGCAAAGATTTGGTGATCTTTCGGAAAAAAAAAACAAATCTGTAATGACGTGAATTATACGTATAGTCAAACAAGGGGCCCTATTTATTCTATTCCCTCCCACACCTCCTTCCAGTTACGTTCGCCCGGAGTCAAAGAAATGATTCCGACCATTCATCATCAAAAATAACGAAAGAGTATCTGCCTAAAGACGGTCACGAGAACAGCCGACAACTGAATGAGATAGCATGAGCGATTATAATATGCAAAGATTTAGTGATCTTTCGAAAAAAAAAAAAAATTTGTAATTATGTGAATTATTTGGTCAAGCAAGGGGCCCTATTAATTCTATTCCCTCCCACACCTCCTTCCGATTACGTTCGCCGGGATGCAACGAAAGTCAAAGAAGTTATCACGACCATTCATTATCAAAAATAACGGAAGAGTATCTGCCTAAAGACGGTCACGAGAACAGCCGGCAACTGAATGTGATAGCATGAGCAATTATAATCTGCAAAGATTTAGTGATCTTTCGGAAAAAAAATCAAATTTATAATGACGTGAATTATTTGGTCAATCAAGGAGTCCTCTTGATTCTTTTCCCTCCCATACTTCCGATTACGTTCTCCCGGATGTAACAAAAACCAATAAGATTCGATGGGTCTATAAATCTTGGTTTCAAATTGAATTATGCAGCTATAGGGGCATAATGCGGCTGTTTGAACACACAGAATATTAGCTAATGCAAGCAATATTTTTATTATATCTTCTATTAAAGTTAAGAATATTTTTATCAAGGAAATTATTGAGGGAACTCTAATCGATTCAATTAAGCCAGAAATAACCTGAAAAAATTCGAATTATGGAGCGCCTTGAATAAAAATTTGAGGAGAATATGGTAAAAGAATTAAAGAAGAGATGCGCATAAGATCGACTATCAGGAGAAAGCATTTTTTAAAGCAAATACCTTAAATTATGACATTAATGAAAATTATGTATGAGAAAATCGCTACACTGATGACAAAACTCCAGAAATATAAGAGCTACACAGAAGAGTCATCAAACAAACAATTGTGATAACAGATACGAAAATTATATAACTAACTTCCTTGAAACTATTAGCAATTTGGTTTTAAACCCTTTGGAGCTGATACCGAAATCACGAGGTTCTGTTTTTATGATATACTCAATTAATAATTTATGCAAGCTCCAAACGCTGAAATAGCTTATGATAGACAAAATTTTCGTACGAGGTTGCATTAAACATCTGGAAAGTATGCTGCGAAGGTGATGTACCTTTTCAGAAAAGCCACATTGCGCTTATCTCAAGCGACTCACGATGACATTTCGGTCACTTATTTAAGTATTTTTGTCAAGATTATTCAAAATGAAGATCACTGATTACGTATCTTGTAACGCCGCTAACAAAAATGCCGATTTTCGACATGAAGAAACATAATATCGCCTATTATACTTCCTCGAAACAAGATTTTAGAATATTCGAATAAGAAACTTGCGACAGCATGGTTCGAATTCCTTGCCAATTGAAATTATTTAATGGTATATAGTAATAGATTCCTTTGAATAAGAGTTCAGGCAGCATTCAGAAACGTTTATGGATGAACTTTATGAAACTCAATTAAAATATCAAGACAAAATCAAACAGACTCGACATAAGAAAAGAATTGGCTATCCTTTAAACACGAAGTTTTTAAAAGTCCATGCCTTTTAGAAGTACATATTGATGTGAGGCTAATAAGAATATAATTTTTACACAAACCATGGATCATTATAACAACATTCTATCAGGTAGTGTATTTATTCATTATGCTGGAGTTTGAAATGAACATAATTTTCGTGTTTCAGTTAGATTCCTTACATATATAAAGCTTGTAATATCTCTTTGTTCAAATTAGACATACAGTAGAACACCGTATTCCAGAAAATATTTATGTATTTTTTAATAATTTGCGTTAATAGGTTTTCTACAGTTTTGGTTTGACTGAGTCATTGTAACCAAAAATATAGGTTACGAGGCAAGTATCTTGAAAACACATTTTATTGTTTAAGATATATATATATATATAATTTTGCTTTATCTTTTATTTTTTCGCCAGTTTGGTAAATCCATTTTTTTAGAAAAAAAAATCTGAGAAATTAAACAAAAAGGAGACATCAAAAAAATCATCTAGCTACACAATGTTCACTTCGGTAACAGTAATGTATCGAATTAATAATAAAGCCGCAATTCCTTCTTAGTTTTTTTATTATATTCATATCTTCATTATCGTCTAATTTGCATGCGGCACTTTTTCCTCGAGGAAATTGAGAGCACACATTGTAATCTAAGTTACAACCATATCATTAAAATTTTAGCTTAACATTGAAAATTATTTGTTTTTAAAGAACCAACTTATTTTTAGGTTTCCCGTGCGATTACTGATTAGCATATCTCTACAGATGTTTTAGTGAAAAAATACGCACTATACGTATATATATATACAGTAGGGGACGAAAAAATTGCCTTTTTTCAAATATATTTAACTTAATAAAGCATTATTTAAATTAAATTAAACTTAAAATATAAATACTTAAATACCTAAAAATTAATTTTAAAGACAATTTTATAACTTTTATTATTATTAATATTTTATATTTATATTTTAATTAAAAATTTTTTATATTATACACAAATTTTACAAGCTAATATATACAGTATATAAAATTTTAAAAAATTTTTAAAATAATATTATTAATTAAATATAAATTATTTTAATTGAAAATTATTTATAAAACTAAAATATTTATATTATTGTTTTTTTATATTTTTTAAGTAAATAAATTTTACATTATAATAAAAACTTTAATTTTTTAAAAAATTTAGGCAATTTTTTTCGTTCCCTACAGTATATATATTTATCGACATTATAAGTTTTAAAATAGCTATTCTCATATACGTATGTCATGTGTCATCATTTGTTTACATAATCACTTCTTTGACTTTCGTTACATCCGGGCGAACGTAAGTGTTGGAGGAAAAAGAATTAAGAGGGCTCTTTGCTTGACCAAATAATTCACGTCATTAAAAATTTGATTTTTTTCCTGAAAGATCACATCTTTACAGATTAGAATCGCTCATGCTATCAGATTTAGTTGCCGGACCGTCTTTAGGCAGGTACTCTTCCATTATTTTTGATGACTAATGGTCAAAATCACTTCTTTGACTTTCATTACATCCGGGCGAACATAATCGGAAGGAGGTGTGAGAGGGAATAGAATAAAGAGAGCCTCTTGCTTGACCATATAATTCACATCATTACAAATTTGATTTTTTTCCTGAAAGACCACCAAATCTTTGCAGATTAGAATCGCTCATGCTATCACATTCAGTTGTCGGCTGTTCTCATAGCCGTCTTTAGGCGGATATTCTTCCGTTATTTTTGATGATGAATGGTCGGAATTACTTCTTTGACCTTCGTTACATCCGGGCGAATGTAATCGGAAGGTATGAGAGGGAATATAATAAAGAAGGCCCCTTGTTTGACCAAATAATTCACGTCATTACAAATTCAATTTTTTTCCGAAAGATCACCAAATCTTTGCAGATTAGAATTGATCATGCTATCACATACAGTTGCCGGCTGTTTTCGTGACAATCTTTAGGCGGATACTCTTCCGTTATTTTTGATGATTAATTGTCGGAATCACTTCTTTGACTTTCGTTGCATTCGGGCGAACGTAATCAGAAGGAGGAGTGGGAGGGGATAGAATAAAGAGGGCCCCTTGCTTGACCAAATAATTCACATCATTACAATTTGTTTTTTTCCCGAAAGATCACCTAATGTTTTTACTCTAAAAAAATAACTTTTTCACAATGTATAGAAAAATTCCATATTTTATTTAAAGATTTTTTTACTTCAGATTAATTCTCAAACTTTTATTATATTAAATTTCAAATAGTCAATGGATTAAAATTTTAGATTAGTTAATTTTGGTTTGCCAAAAATATACGTATATATAACAGTAATATGTAAAATGCATAGACCATACTTTTCTATTTTTATTAACTTATATAAGTATTAAAATTATAATAAAAAAAATAAAGAGTTAAAGTAGAGTTAAAGAGCTATTATTAGTTATACCTTTGTTATTTTTCTTTTTCTATTTAAACATTTCTCTTCAATTTTTTTTATTTACTTTTTTATGAAAATTTTTTCTACTAATCTGTCATATAGTTGATATAAAAGATTCTTGGCATTAATAGTACTAGGATATCTTAGATTAATTTAACGTGTTAAACTTTATAGTGGATAATAATACTGTATACCAATCAGTGGGTGTAAATTAATAGATTTTTAATAGTATCAAGTTTTTATAAAAATAGTGTAATTGACTATACAATCTTTTGATGTGATTCATAATATCTTTATTATATTGATAAAAGAAGACATTTATATGAGATGATATAATATCTTCTTTATTTTAGTTGAATCAGACTTGCTCTTTATACTATTATCTTTCTAGAGGTCTGTAAATTTTTAGACAGTATGGAAATAACATTTATCCCAGTTGTTAATTAATATAATGTTTTATTAATAAAGTATGTAATTACAGTGGACATGAAATAAGACAATATTAAAAAAATAATAATATAGAAAAGGTAAATTGAAGGTTACATACATATATAAAATAAAGCAAAAAAGGATCACATGATTTTGATACAAAGATATCAAGAATTTAGATTGACCTTGCAATCTCCCAACTTAAATCCTGTAGAACTTTTAGGATCATTTGAAAAGAAGATTATCTAATTACGTATTCGGGAAATCCTACTGATACGATTTAAATTTGATAAAGAGTTGAAGAATGAGATGCAATGCCTTTTGAGTATACAAATTATTGAATTTTACATTCGTATTTTTGGTAAAAAAATGATATGAATGTGTTTGCATATTTTGAACAAAATTTGCCCCCAAAAATAAAAATAAATACATTCATACAAAAATAAAATTACCTACAAAGATTGAAGTGAGTATATTTCAATATTATGTAATCGGTTTAATATACGTATATAAAATTTAGGCGTGGAGTTAAACCATGCAGAACGCAAATTGAATGATACTGATTTCGAACAAATTTTGCCACTCCGATGGCACGTTTGAAGAAGATCCCGAAGGTACCAAAACATTAAATCAGAAAACAATGAATATCACGATACGTACAGTATTGCGGATTTAATGATGAAAATCCGGATGTTAAAAATATTAGACGAGGCTATATTACTATATATGCTAATATTAATTTTGATTATGTCAGTTATAGTAATAACGAATGTCGTAAAATTAGAATCTTAATAACTCTAATTATGCCAATCTATGGTTATACGTAGTAGAGGCACATCCATCGGTTCGGTGTGCTTCATAATATCGCACCTTTACAATTGATGTGGCCTACGATATAAAAAATTATTAGGAGGTACAACGAAAGAATATTACACCATGAGTAGAACCTATTGTCAATTTGCTCTCGAAATTAACATCACCAAAAATTTTCACGCGGAAGATTGTAAAGATATTGATGTACATAGTACAAATTAAGTACTTGATCAACCGAGTTTATTGAACTACGTAATAATTTTGTATTAGCATAGAGGATCATGTTCCAGTGTATGATGCAATCGACACGGAGAAAAGAATTAAATGTCCGTCTCAATCTGAGAGCTTAAACGATAATGGGGAGACAGCTATCAGAGATACGCTTACTTTGGGAATTACTATTATATAATTCACCTTCTTAAATACGACATTCGTTTCTCACGAACAACAAAACAATTTCCAAAAGCTTTTCCCCTGGAAAAATTCTTTCTTTCCCGTTTGTCACGACACGTTAATTAAAATACACATTAAATAATTAGAAATTTCTGAAATGAGAATTAGACAAGAGAGCTTGGCGGCTCTCTTTTTCCTCTTATCCGCTCTCTTTTTCTCAACCACTTCAACGGTTGTCATCTCCAATTCCCCAAATGTTATTCATAACATCTACCCATCCACAGATCTGCCTGCCACCTACTTCCAATCTTCTAATCCCGACGATGTTCGTCACCGCATCTTTGACGTTCGATTGAACACCAAAATTCCCTTCCTAAATCTCGATAAAACACACGGCGCGATTTCTTCAATCGAATGTGATTCGTCCATAGGCTCTATTACGTTAAAGCTACATAAAGGATTGTCTGAAAGTTTTATTGATGATGTCAAACATCTGCCCTCAAAAGTTATTCTGATAGTAAGCCATCGTTTGAATTGCTTTGTAAAGTCGACAACTCAATTCTTTTTAACTGAATATAGGACTGTGGATGTGACAAACAGGAAAGTAAAGATCAGTGTCGAGCCTTGTGATATCTTGGATTGGACAGACGAATTTTCATTTAAAATGTGGGGAAAAGAATCCGCCTATCCTCAAAAATTGAGCCCTCGCTCATATAACAAACGAGGGAGCGCAGAATTCAGCGCCCCCGTAAGCTTTGATTTACTATACGATCACAAAACTAGGAATTCCTCCGAGCCAAATGTTCACTTGGCCTCCGGCTTGACCTGTTCCAACTGTTTTACCAAAGGTTGTGCCTCAATTTCATTAGATGTCAAGGGCCACAAGCGCAAAATCAATTCTGCACATTTAGAAATCATTGGAGATTTTCTTGCGAATCTTGATATAACTGCCGAAGGCCATCATGACTCACAGGATGTGGTAATATTTGAGTTACCATCAAAAATTCCTATCATACCAGGTCAATTCGAGATTGATTCATCGCTGAAGTTAGTTGCTAACTCCAAAGTCGATTTGCGATCTAAATGCGCGGTTACCTTAGGCAGAAGTTTATCAATACAAAATTTTTCTTTGGTTTTTGAGTTGGTCGACAATAAAATTAATGTGAATGAAAATTTGATCCGAAATTTTCGTTTCACAAACCGAGAAAAGTGCAAACGAATTGATGTTGTTCGGAAGAGGAAAATTTTCGCAGGGAGAAAATTATATAATTATTAGGCATCGCATATAATCTAATTACTGTATTTGACAATTAATGATAATTTAATTATCGACCAAATATTAATTTAACTATACAGTATATTACATAATAAGTTAATAGTGCAAATATTATTATTTAAATACTTAAATACACAAGTGCGAACCACGCTTGGATTTTTTTTTTTCAAGTTGTGGTAAGGTAAAAGTAATATTTCATTTATAAACGAAGCAAGAGAAGAATTTGGATGAGTGAGCAATCACCGAATGTCGTAATACATGGCGCCCAAAATAGATTTTACAATGTGACACAAGCGCTTTAATGAGGATCTTTTTTTTTAAAAAAGGAAAGAACAATTATTCTTTCATCGTTTACTCAACGAGAGATAAACAATTTCCATCTTTATATTTTCGAACGGCTGAAGAGGTTGTGAGATGATATTAGCATGCAGGCTATTTCTATTTTCATGGCATGATCTGCATATTTGATAATGAAAGTTGGTAGGCTATGAAAGAGGAGAACATATTCCGGAAAACAAAGCGAAAGGTGCAGAAAAGATTTCCACAAAGAATGAAAATTGGACGGATGTAAAATCCATGTAATTAATGTGTGATCAAATATTCACACTTGAAAATTATATATAAATATGCGCGAAAATGGGTCATTATAGTTCCGAGTTTTTATCATAAAGATTCATTATCGTTTTGATGCTTCGTCGAGAGCAAGATTGCATCTCACCAAAGCTCATGTTTCGTCCTGATTCTTTGCCAAGGGAAAGACGTGGATTCATCGATCACAAGAGACAAGATAATACATATGTATGATAATGATATCCAAAGACACGCCTCAGAATTAAAACTAATTTTCCTTTTCTATCCGCGCTCAGTACTTGATCAATATGAAACCTTTTTCAAATAGACGTGCGTTGGTTTCTGAAAAGGAAAAAGTGAACTTATGCGAGGTTGATATTTAGGTCACGTGACCAGAGTTTATTGTCACTAAAGTAAGATTCGCATAGACTCGCATAATACGTATTTAATTAACTACCGTAAGTTAAGCTCCTATAAAATTTGATGATACGTAATCCGAAAATTGATTGAATCATTAGAATCCTTATTAGCGATTTAGACCTACCAATAATATACATTTAGGACATTAACATGGTACGTATGGTTTGTCTGACAGAGATCATGATGCATCAGGGCTTACTAACACCTTTTCACAATCTGATATTAATACTAGATCGGAGAATGTCCATCCACCCTATTTTTGTCGCCGGGTTACATTTCAATCAAAGAACAAATTTATAATTTATGTAAATAGGAACTCACAAGCCCATCTGTGCTTACCGGCTCTCAAAAGTAGCAAAATGAATATAGCATTTTTTGGACGTGGATCCAAAAAAAGATATTTCAATGTCAGAAAATGACGTATTTGCAATGGCACGAAGAAAAAATTTTTTTTTTGGTGCGACGAAATAGTTTCTTCCAAGTTTGTTCTATGTAAATTTGTGAGTAATTTCATATAAATAGTGTTATTTAATACCTCTACGACCAAAGTTCCTTCACTTCATTGTTTGATTGAACATTCCGGCTAATATGTCTCCATTAATATACCAAGATGAATTTGGAACAGTAATCAGTATTAAACTGGGAGATGTGCCATTCATCTCATATCTACCTTCTCCTGAGGTTTACTTAACACAATCGCGAAAAGATCGTTCCAGTAAAACCAACAAAAAAGCAAGTTCGTTTATGACCTTTAGGACAGTTGTTCAACGGAACGCAAACATATTCTATGATTTTTATGGTGCGACAACGATTGAAAATCGAGATTTGTCACGCATTCTCGCGGAAGAATGGAAATCAGCACCAAAAGAGTTCAAGGAGACGTTTGAACGATTTGCTGTGGATGTATATAATTTCCGAGCAAAATCGACGCCAGTATTTAACATTTACGATGAAAAAAAGATCAAGAAAAGAAAAAATGGCAAGAAGAAGTCTGTGCGTCATGATAGTTTCACAAAAGTTGGTAATTAATACGTGCAATTTCAATATTATTTTGGTCTCAATAGTGTTTAAGTATATGCACGACTGATTTGCGTGCCTTCTCTTATCGAATTTTGTATATTGTAAATAAATAAAAAAATTCTTTCTTTCTTTTAACCTGGTGTTTCAGTTTTATCTGTCGTGTTGTGATACGTCACCATAAGATAACAGCCTATAATACAGTGTATTTAAGTTTGTACTGTATATACGGCAATATTGTAAACAATACGTAACCTACACTATACAGTAAGTACATAAGCAAAAAAGTCAATTTGATCATTGCGTGAACTACTTGTGCCGACGGTAGCTCTGCATATTGCATTGTTATTTCCATATATAACCATTTCCGAATACCATATCGAATTGTGGTCTTAATCACTGATGACGGTTCCAAAAAAAAAAGGATCAAACCAAAACAAGCAAAAAGTTTTTTACCTCCAATCTGTACACACAAAATAAGAGTAAACATATGCAGTGTCCTAATATTCCTTCTACTGAAAATAGAAAGGTCCAATCTCATCTAATAGAAATAAAAGAGCATTGTTGTTTGTATCACAGAACTGATCCGATGCACTAGACTCACACAGTTACGAAATCTGTCACACGGGACAACATTAGAGGAGAAAAGAATGAGGGCACACGCACTATTCGTTTATGTGTGCAGCATATACATTAAATAAAAAATTCCATCTTTATGAACATATTGGTACAGTAGTAATACGTTACATTGTGTAAGGGTCATCTTACAACTAATCAGAAAACATCGTACGGCACTGGTGTGTGTCATATTAAATTATTGAGAAGGTGCTAGAACGATGAGTTTTCCCGATGCAACATGGATACTGTACATACAACGCAAGGTATATTCGTGTTGTCAATTCTCTGCGTTTCATTCGCTAAAGTATCAATGTGCGATTAATTTCAGTTAATTTCAGTCTCGTGTTTGCCAGCGCAGTAAAATGATACTTCCGTACTGTTTTCCCATACAATAAAAGAACCTGAGTGAGATCTGTTGATAGACAAGGTCGGAATTGCGACACAATATTTTTAATCCTCGACACTTGACCATATGAGTGATGTGGTTTGACGTATAAAAGAATTTGTGAAGGAACTGATCACAAGTTAAAAAACCGATCGATCAGTATGCAAGAAGAATATCTTTTAATATTACCATGAAACTTGATACGTAGAGTGAAATGCAATGACCTGAACCATCCAATTATGTAATTTGTAAATAGTTGACTGTGTTCTATACGGAAGAGTTTATCGATATCATCTTATTTAATCTTATCTTCATCGGAACACTACTACTCTAAGAAGCTCAAAAAAAAAAAAAATCTTTTTGGGTTCGCATTTCTTCACCATCCTCTTCATAACATAACCCACGTGATTTTTACTAATTACTGTAAATATTCTGGCAAAATGTAATATGTAGTGAAATATGGTAAGATCAAAAATTTACTTAAATCCAAATCAGTTTAAAGATATAGGAAAATGTTATAGATATAGGATTCCAATAATCAGAAGTATGTAAGTTTGAATTCTAATTATATATGAAATATTAATTCTTATAATCGAATTTTCTACTTCGACGGAACCTCACCGCATCTCCCCCAATTATTGTACCATCGAAGTTATCCTTTTATTTTTAGAGTGAGTTCGGTTATTCACACGATTAATCGTTCCTTATTGCATTTTGAAAAGTATATTTGATGACTTTGAGAAAAGATAATTTTAAACGTGATGAGAAAAATAAAATACAGTATATACTACGTTTAGGAAAATACCTTAAAACGAGACAAGCTTCCTTTGGGATAATCTATAAAGAATGGCTGTTGATACTGTATATCATTATCTCTTTCTCGCAGATCCTTTTTTTCTTAAAAATTTCCTTTTTAGTCATTTTTAAAAACAAAGAAGAGTGAACGGAGAGATGAGTTCTCCAAGAGAACAATGAAAGCAATATGCTCAGGACAGACCAACTATAATGAGAGTGTCCTGGCTAAAGGTAATGCAAGGTTGTCACGCAAAGAAACACAAATGGAGGAATTAAGCAACAGTAGAAAGGGCAATCAATACAGTGAAGAAACCTGACAAGAGGTCACATCCAAAATCAAAGGAACGACAAGCAAACTTGACAAGCCTAATCTCAAGTTTTTTCATTCATAAATACATTGGAGAAAAGGAAATCAAGAGATCCTTTGCAAATTTGATGGTATTCGATTTCTTCCTATAATATAATAAAGTCTTTACGATCAGAATTGCTCTTGATATCACATTTAACTTCCAGCTATTCTCGTAACCGTCCTTAGGTAGCCAATCAGAGTCCTCACTATAAATCTAATTGTTAGCTATTCTCAAACTGTCCTTAAGCAAACAAATATTCGAATTTGCATTTTATAAACGCTCTTGCTATCACATCCAGTAATCGACTTTTCTTGTAACCGTTTTTAAGAAGAGGCTCATCAAATATCTATACGTTAGAACCGCTCTCGCTATCACATTTACTGTCGGATATCCTTGCAAATACCTTTAGGCATATATTAATCAAGCTTACATATTAAAATCGCCTTCGTTATCGCATCTAACTATTTTAAAGATCAAAGTCGTTCTTATTAGTACAATTAGCTGTAACCGTACTTATGCGAATATTTATCAAATATTGCTCACTAAAATATCATCATCACATCTAGCTGCTATTCTCGTACTGTCTTAAGGCGGATACCTACCAAATTTTTAAATGTCAAAATCGCTTTCGCCATCACATTTAATGTCGAATATTCTTGTAAGCATCTTTAGGCGAATATTCATCAAATTGGTAGATTAAAATCGCTCTCACTATCCCATTTACAGTCGGATATTCTTGTAAGCTTTTTTAGGCAAATATTCATCAAATTGGTATATTAAAATCGCTCTCACTATCTCATTCACAGTCGGATATTCTTGTATGCATCTTTAGGCAAATAATCATC